TTGATATTGTGTGAATATGTAATCATGTAATCAATAAAAAAGTAACTGTAGTCTGATTATGAGTATTTTAAAAAATGTAATTTAATCTAATTACAATACAAAAATCCAGATTACATGTAATCAGTTACTACCCAGCTCTGTGTGTGTGTGTGTGTGTGTGTGTGTATGTATATATATATATATATATATAGCCATAAAAAAGGTTTAATTATAAAATTACAAATATATAATAAACAAATGTGCTTAATGCATATTTCATATGTTCCTGATAAACTACACTACTCATAATACTTTCCAATATTGAAATGGTAATCAATGGTATTGTATATGACGTAATTAAGGCATTCTTCCTACCCTCTAAACATTTTTGTCCTTCCAAATTTTGCAATACTCAAAACTATGGGTGGGAGATCATTCTCCTGTGTTGCTCCCAGGTTGTGGAATTCTTTGCCTCTTCCTATTAGGAATGCCCTGTCTTTTGATTGTTTTAAGAAATTACTCAAAACATATCTCTTTAGTGAAGCTTTTAAGTTATAATCTTACAGTTGTTGTTGTCATTGTGTTGTCATTGTGATTGCTATTATGGAGTAGTGTTGTTCTTTTATTGTTGTTTTATACTGTTGTAGCGCCTTGAGTGTAAGAAAGGTGCATTACAAATCAAATGTATTATTATTGTTTATATTATAAACGTATATATTTGTAATTTTTTTTAATTCAAATTTCAAATAAAATAAAAAAAAAAACTATGTTTGTGTTATGATTTCTTTCTTTTTTTTTAAGTTTGTAATGTGATTCTAATTCTTATAACTCTTAATTGAAGAAGTTTTTTTTATTCTCTACTGATAAAATGAATAAGAAAACACTTCTAGAGGCAAGTCCACTTTGCATTCTGTAGCATTTTAAATCTTAACTTCATAACAGCCAGTACCTGTCTGCTGAATGTGTGGACCACATGCATCCAGTAATCTTCAGTGGGGTCATAACAGTAAATGGATTTGGTCAGGCCTCCAGAAACATAGATGAGATTGTTCAGTGATACGGCCGTGATGCAGCGCTTAGCGATGGGGATGTTGGCCCTTAGCAACCAGGAGTCAGACTCTGGGTCATAGCACTGAACCTGGGGGAAAACACACAATTGACTATGCAATGTCTCCTCGGGCTGTAAAGCAAATCCTGGAATCACAGACATTTATCAATCCCCCTGTCATTTTAGAAACAAGGGTGTTGATAAAAACTTCACAGACTTTTTGTGGTCTTAAAAATATAAAATTGCCTTGTGGAAATCCAAACTCACAAAATCAGTGATCATGTGTCATTTTCCTGATAAAAAGGAAACATAATCACGCAAAGACACAAAATCTCATGAGAAAAGCCTGAATGCATTTTTATCTCCCTCTCTGTCTGGAGTATGTGATACGGGATAGGATGGTATTACAGGGGCTTCACACATTTTGGAAATAGCAGACACTTGTGCAAAAGAACGCTCCAGGCACAAATGATACGGTAGACTAATAGGATAGAAACGTGACTACAATAACTGTAATAGTCAAATGACACACACAACACATGCTTTAACCAATCAGAGTTAAGACAGGTGGCATTATTGCCAAAATAACTTCTTATAAGGAAGCAGGAAATGCTCCAATGGTATCAAATTCCCTTAGTGGTATCAGTTCCCACAACAAACATTTTAAAAATACATCAATCTGTACTCAGTGGAATTATGGGTCCAAAGAAGTTTTGTTTGGGAATTAAAGGTCAGCTAATTCAGAACCAAGACACTGAATCACAGCGAAATACATAAAGGGAATCCAATGAAATATCTGTGGCTGAGTGTTTCTCTCCAAAGAGACACCTGGAGAACATATCAGAGCGGGCTGACAGATCCAGGTCAGATGGTCGTAACTGTTGATATCCATTAGGGGGCAGAGGACAGCACATTCAATGTCTCTCTGATCTATTGTTCTGTTAAGGCAAAATTAGGCCATGATGAAGAAAAACTCTGTCCAACTACAGTGTAAAAGTAAACAAGCTGCCATCATGTAATCTAACAGCTGGCACACTTAGGGTTTAAGCAATTGATGCCGTTTTGGTCACACACAAAGTCGTAGTTACCATAGTAGAGACTTTGTATACAGTACTTAAACTTTCTGTCATTTGTCAACTGAACGTATTTAAACGTAGACTGGCCCCTGGTTCAACTCAATTATACTGTACATTGAGAAGTTATTAAGCTTGAATTTAAAGCTGTGTTGTCAACTAAACTAAAACTATCTAAAATATATTAATTAATTAAAATAAAGCTGAAATAGAACAAAAAATAGATATTAGTTTAAAAACATATACTGAAATGAAATGTAGAAATGTTGCCTTGGCAGCTAACTGAAATAAAATAGGCCTAAGTTTAATTTGAAGTACTAAAATGACTAAAAATAAAACTGAAATAAAAATAAAGATAAATAAAAATAAAAAGATAAAAAAAGAAAAACTCATAAGAATGATAAAAGTACATAACAAAATCACTAAAACTAAAATAATAATAGATACTATAATATTAGTACATACAGTGGGTATAGAAAAGAATCACCCAGACTACAATAACTGTAATAGTCAAATGACACACACAACAAATGCTTTAACCAATCAGAGTTAAGACAGGTGGCATTATTGCCAAAATAACTTCTTATAAGGAAGCAGGAAATGCTCCAATGGTATCAAATTCCCTTAGTGGTATCAGTTCCCACAACAAACATTTTAAAAATACATCAATCTGTACTCAGTGGAATTATGGGTCCAAAGAAGTTTTGTTTGGGAATTAAAGGTCAGCTAATTCAGAACCACTGAATCACAGCGAAATACATAAAGGGAATCCAATGAAATATCTGTGGCTGAGTGTTTCTCTCCAAAGAGACACCTGGAGAACATATCAGAGCGGGCTGACAGATCCAGGTCAGATGGTCGTAACTGTTGATATCCATTAGGGGGCAGAGGACAGCACATTCAATGTCTCTCTGATCTATTGTTCTGTTAAGGCAAAATTAGGCCATGATGAAGAAAAACTCTGTCCAACTACAGTGTAAAAGTAAACAAGCTGCCATCATGTAATCTAACAGCTGGCACACTTAGGGTTTAAGCAATTGATGCCGTTTTGGTCACACACAAAGTCGTAGTTACCATAGTAGAGACTTTGTATACAGTACTTAAACTTTCTGTCATTTGTCAACTGAACGTATTTAAACGTAGACTGGCCCCTGGTTCAACTCAATTATACTGTACATTGAGAAGTTATTAAGCTTGAATTTAAAGCTGTGTTGTCAACTAAACTAAAACTATCTAAAAAATATTAATTAATTAAAATAAAGCTGAAATAGAACAAAAAATAGATATTAGTTTAAAAACATATACTGAAATGAAATGTAGAAATGTTGCCTTGGCAGCTAACTGAAATAAAATAGGCCTAAGTTTAATTTGAAGTACTAAAATGACTAAAAATAAAACTGAAATAAAAATAAAGATAAATAAAAATAAAAAGATAAAAAAAGAAAAACTCATAAGAATGATAAAAGTACGTAACAAAATCACTAAAACTAAAATAATAATAGATACTATAATATTAGTACATACAGTGGGTATAGAAAAGAATCACCCCCCCTTTAAAATAATCACATTTTGTTGCTTTGCAGCCTGACATGAAGACGGACACAGTTTTTGTTTTATCCAGTTGTATATACTCAGTGCAACATAACATCCAAGTGAAAGATATAACACCAACATATCAGAAAAAAAACCAGAATCACCGAGTTGGAAAAAGGATCACCCCCTCCTAAAAATGACTTTTAAACTCAATCAGGTGTAGCCAATCACCTTCTCAATGGCACACAACGCCATTTGACTTTCAATTGTGATCAGCTGTGGTCATTTTGATTAGCTCCTGTTTTATCCAGTTGTATATACTCAGTGCAACATAACATCCAAGTGAAAGATATAACACCAACATATCAGAAAAAAAACCAGAATCACCGAGTTGGAAAAAGGATCACCCCCTCCTAAAAATGACTTTTAAACTCAATCAGGTGTAGAGAGCCAGAAGGAAACTGGTCAGAGAGGCGACCAAGAGGCCTACAGCAACGCTGAAGCAGTTGCAGGAATTTATGACAAAGAGTGGTCATTGAGTGCATGTGACAATATCAGAAACGCTCCACAAATGTGGCTTGTATGGGAGGGTTGCAAGAAAAAAGGGACTCCTCAAGAAAGGCCACATGGAGTCATGACTGAGCTTTGCCAAAATGCACCTTGAAGATTCTGAGGCAGATGAGACTAAAATCGAATTATCTGGCCTCAACACCAAACAATATATCTGGCGGAATACAGCTCACCATCCAAATAACAGCATTCCTACAGTAAAGCAGGAGGTGGTAATATCCTGTTATGGGGGTGTTTCTCTGCAGCAGGGACTGGAGCACTTGTCAGGATAGAAGGGAAAATGGATGGGGCAAAACACTGTAAAATTCTTGAGGAAAATCTGCTGCCCTCTGCAAGATTGTTGTCAATGGGAAGAAAGTTTACCTTCCAACATGACAATGACTCAAAGCACACAGTGGTTGAAGTAGAAAAAGGTGAATGTCCTTGCATGGCCTAATCAGAGCCCAGACATAAACCCCACTGAAAATCTGTGGAATGACTTGAAGACTGCAGTCCACAAACAGTCACCATCAAATTTAACTAAACTTGAGCTGTTCAGCAAAGAAGAGTGGGCAAATTTTGCAAAGCCTAGATGTACA